CACGTGGGGCATCACTTTGGGTTACTTACCTTTGCACAAGCACAGTCTGTTACTTATCACAAAGGTCTGGAGATGGAGGGCTTTGATCCCAGCAAAATAGGTCACCATAGAGAGATGTCTGCTTTCCAGCACTGTGGCCATGTGTGATTGTAGAGCAGATATGGAAAATTCCAGCCTCTCTCCTACCAGCCAACTCATAAAGCCTTTTCCCACCCTTCTGCTGCCTTTCACAGACAGCTCTGCCATGGCATGACTGGAGAATCCTGTCAGAGTACTCTGGGAGGAGTAGTCCTACCTTCTTACCATTGCAGGCAGTGGGAGCAACAGTGCTGGTTCAGAGCAGATAAATATGAAACATGTGTTGGCCTTGCCACATGACATAAACTACAACAGCGCAAACAGCTCCTACTCTCCCTCCCTTGGTGCAGCTATGGATTCGATGTCTGTGCCACTGAGTGCTGCTCATGCTGTCTCAAGCAAAATGCAATGCTCTGTGCCACACCAGAGAAGTGGGACCATGGGCTGCAGTGATAGAACTTCCTGAAGTACCATCCTGGAAATGTGACATCTGTGAGCAAAGTCAGGCAGCCAGCAAAGAGCATCCTTTGTGCTCAGCTCCTGCAGGAAGAGCTAACACAGGATGCTAGGAACGGCTGGGCTGGCTTAATCAAGCAAATTGTCTGTCTTGTCATCCTCACTCCTCAGGGGCCCCACTCATTGTTAGCTGCCTGTGAATTTCCTTTGCAACTCACCAGGTGGCATTCCCCAAGCTGTGGATGGAGCATGGCAGCATGCCCAGAGGTGGCTGTCACTGCCATGGGCAACACGCTGGTGCCTGCCCCTTGTCTATGCCAGCCCCAGTGTAAGGTAGTGCACACAAGTAGTTTGTGTGCCCCCATCCTGCCTCACCAGGGAGCTCTCGATGCTTGCCTTATGTAGGGCGTTGTGTGAAAGATGGGAGAAATAGATCTCAGACTGACAGCAGTTGCTCAGACAGCAATAAAAAACACTCAGCTCTAGCAAGATTCTGGAGCGAAGGTACCAAGAATCACTGAAGGTATCAGGGGGTTATGAAATCCCATTGGATGGCAGATGTAATGTGGAATTAGTCTCTGACCCAGCATGTTATTAGTGGAGAGTCTCTATGCTCCCGTGAGCTCCGAGGCTCTCAAAAGGAAGCTTTTTTTTCTCCCCTCTCAGTGAGCCTCCTGCACTCCCCGTGCACCTTTTGAGACTAATCCAGAGTGACATCCTACATTACAAGATTAAGTTGGAGCCTTCAGACCCTGCACTTTGCAGGTTGATATTTTCCCTTGTAGTAAATCTTAGCTATTACTCCAGCCTGTCATCTGGTAAGGATATCAGTGCCACTTCTTTGACACCTCCTGATTGAACACATATGGGATGAAGGTCTCACTTCAAAAAGGGAGGAAAGCAATGAGGCAGCTGTAGTGTTTGGGGGACTGGCTCCTCTCCTTCCTCTCTGGGATGGCAAAGCTCTTTCGTAAACTAGACAGGAGCTCTGTGTGTCCAAGTGCAGGAAGGAAGAGAGCTCTTGGTAATCCAAATGTGAAGTTTATTAGAAACTGTCTTCTTGAAGCCTGGAGAGAGCATAAAAGGAGCAATGGCTTCTGAATAACAGGTAAGTTTAAGGGGTAAGTTTAAGCTGAACAGAATGACAGGTAAGCTAACTCAGTTTCAAAAATCTGCTTTGGAAAAGGAGAGAACCCTGAATCATTTTCTTGATGTTTCTCCATAGAAAATAAATATTCAAGGGCTCTTTATCTGTCAGTATTTTTTCCTGTCTTCTCCCAGTTCATCACTCACAGCAGGTGTATGATCCCTGCCTCTCCTCCTGGGTTGCACAATCTTTCCCTTCCCAATGGAGGGGGTAGAAACAGGTAATAATAATCAGCAACCAGCAGCCAACAGTGAATAACAATCTTGTGCAGAGGGCTTTTTCAGTTCAGCAGCTGCTGACAAAATTTCATAGCCAGTCTTAAATGGTCTGGCTCCAAACAGCAGGAGTCACTGCTATAGCGATTTATGAAGATATTCCTCTATCTGGTTATGTTTTTGAGTACACTCGGAAATACCATTGTCATCTGGGTGAGGCAGATGCACACAGTGGTGTTTGTGCCAAATCAGCCTGAGCACACAATGGGAAGTTTGTGCCAGGTTTGTTCTGGACAGGAGTAAGCAGGTGGTACCTACTTTGACATAGAGCTTATGGATAGAAAGGTGACACTACAACTTATTGTTTTGTATTTATCTTCATGAGCAGAGAGCTTGGCAGCCCATGGCCTAGGGTGGTTTGTAGGTGGTACTCCTATGGTGTCAGTTGCAATGTGTGTTGTGCAGGCTGTTTGCCTGCGACGCGCTATGTATCTCGTGTGACTGCCTCATTCCAGAGCAGTCCTCCTAGGTTAACCAAGAGGGACTTCTGATTCCATTTGTGTGCAGGCCCTCCTCCCTTTTGCTACTAAAAGTAGCTAGAAATCCCCCCAAAGGTGTTTGAAAAGACTTTTCCTGGATTTGCTAGCCTCAAGTTTTCAACAAGAGCAAACAAGGTCATAGACAGTCCAAGGCACCACTTCTACCTTTGGTTCTTGCAGCAATTCTTGCTCTCAGATATCTTACGAGAGCCTGAATCACATACCTCTCAACTCCTTCTAGCTGAGCCTATCAGGGCGGCAGAGCTTTATGCATTTGCCAGCTTGGGAGCTGGGCCAGGACACATCACAGATGTACAAATGGGAAAGGCTCAAATGGAAATCTCTTCATTTAAGCTACATAAATAACCAATATATCCAGTTCTTGTCTTTGCCCCTTAGATAAAGGTTTTCCTAGCCTCAGCCTGAGTTGTTAATCCATTATGAACTGAGGCATGATAAGATCTGTACTGGGATGTGTTTGACATAAGCTCAGGCCTAGTATATATGACCTTGTAATCATACAGATCCAGAAATGCTTCACTGTGCCCTCAAAAACAACCAAGAAATAAACTTCCCATTCTTTCTGAATGGCAAAACAGCTCAAAATGTGACAAATGGGAATGAAAGTGGTCATAGCCACCTCCAGGTGGTGAGTGGAAATCTGCAACACATGCGCCCATTAGCGTTTTAAAGCCACTTTGCAGCCTACTGTATGCACTATAGCTGGAATGGAGAGGCTGCAGACTGTGCCCTTCTCTACCACTTACTCAAACCCAGAAACTGCCCATTGTAGGAGATTCTGACTTGCCCACTCACTGGTGCCTTCCTTCAAAGGGGTGTCCGTGGCAGTTGCTAGAAAATAGCAGTTGAAGGCGAAGAACCACAGAGTTACTTTTCTTTAGTAGTGCAACCAGGCCAAAAAAGTCATAGATACTGGGCTTCAGCAGTGGTTGGGAACTGTTGAAGATGAATACAAGTACCTTGCTGGTCTCCAAGGTTGGTTTGAAGCCCAACAAATCAAAGCAAAAGAAGAACTGCCAGTGACTTCAATGGGATTTTACATGCAGAAACAATATGGGGTAGTCCATACTGATATTTTTTCAGATAGGTGAACTCTGCACTGTGGCAAGTTTCACTCAGTCTAACACATCACATCGATCCAAAGAAAGTGTCACACAGAGCGTCAGAAGCTGTATACCATGTGTTTTAATAAACTTTATAACCAGCAGAAAAATAGTTTTGGATGTGTTTGTTCTCCTCCCTCCTAAAAAAAAAAAAGTCAAGTCCAACCCAAAACAATGCCAACCCCCAAACAGAACGAAAATAATTGTCCTGGAGCAAAACAGACACTAAATACAGATGGACACAAAGGTTTTTGGACAAATCAATTGTGTTGGTACAAACATAAGGCAGTGAGCAATAAAATGCTTATTGTCTCAATCAGTTTATCAATTTGTATAGATATACATGTATACATACACAGATACATATATATCTATACACATAAATCTTTTGTGGGATGATATACATCTGTAAGACAACAAAATAAAAGGGTGACTGTGGGGAAGGAGTAAAGAAGAAAAGAGATGCATTGTTTTAGTCAGTGTAAGGACAATGCTCAGTTTCCTTGCAACATACCATTACTTTCCTTATCAAGACATCCATGGTTATTCTGTGTCCTTGGTCCATGGATGAGCCATGAGCTTGTAATTAAAGTGATCCACTTCTATGCTCTGTGTACGAGCAATACCTCAGAAATATATGAAGCATTCCTTCCTCTGGTTAATTCCCATGCTTTTCCATGTTTTGTAATTTAAAATTGGTTAGTATTCCAGTTTGCATTTTTGCCCCCACATTTCTTGCATTTGCTGCTATGCACGTCACCACAACAGGGTGGAGCAATCCTGATAAGCAATATGCCATGGGCATGTTCTGTTATCACGGTGTGACTGGATGGAGGAATTCATTATACAATGGATTCCATGCTACTTTGACCTCACACTCAGTCTGCGGAGTCAAGTCATGCTGTAACCTCAGCTTTTCTGTATTGGGTGGGTCTGTGGGTCACGTCTTAATCCAGAAACAAAGAAAGGAAAGAAAAAATATTTTTTAATTTCCTTTTTATCTTCCATAGACACCTACCAACACAAGAAGAGTAGGCAACACTGTTCTCTGCTAGGTCTCTGCTTCACTCTTAGGCAAATGAGTCCTGCATTCAAAAAAAAAAAAAAAAAAAAAAAAAAGTATTCTTCCTCCTGTTGCTATATTGCTCTTTCAGAGAACCAGCCACTGTCCGTGCTTTCTCAGATCTCAGTGCCGTGCTCAACAAGCAAGCAAAGCACAAGCTCATGCTGGCTGCAAAGTTCATGTCACCAAGAAGGTATTAAGAGAACAGCTCAGTTTGCCAGCTTCTTGTAAACACCATATTGCTAAGAAGGCAAAGGCAAAATACCCTTCTCCACACTTCCCCTAGTTCCTTTTCTTTTCTTTTCTTTTCTTTTCTTTTCTTTTCTTTTCTTTTCT